TAGAGAGCTGGCTGACATGATGCTGAGAAAGAAGGTAAATGTTTCATGTGTCCAAGAGACCAAGTGGAAGGGCAGCAAGGCTCGCAGCATTGGAACAGGGTTCAAACTGTTTTACCATGGTGTGGATAGAAAGAGAAATGGAGTAGGGGTGGTCCTGAAGGAGGAGTTGGTAAAGAATGTAGTAGAGGTGAAACGAGTGTCAGATAGGGTGATGTGTCTGAAGGTAGAAGTAGAAGGTCTGATGCTAAATGTTGTCAGTGGTTATGCTCCACAGGTTGGATGTGATGAGGAGGAGAAAGATACATTTTGTAAAGATCTGGATGAAGTGATAGAGAGTATTCCCAGGGAGGAGAGAGTGGTGATGGAGCAGACCTGAATGGACATGTTGGTGAAGGAAACAGAGGATGAGGAAGTGATGGGTAGGTTTGGTGTCAAGGAAAGAAACCAGGAAGGACAGATGGTGGTGGATTTTACCAACAGAATAGAAATGTCTGTAGTCAACACCTGTTTCCAAAAGAGGGAGGAGCATAGAGTGACCTATAAGAGTGGAGGAAGGAGTACGCAGGTCGACTACATTCTGTGTAGAAGAGGAAACCTGAGGGAGATTGGAGACTGTAAGGTTGTGGCAGGGGAGAGCATGGCCACACAGCATCGGATGGTTGTGTGTAGAATGACTGTTGTTGTGAAGAAGAGAAAAAGAGTAAAATCAGAGAAGAAGACCAAATGGTGGAAGATGAAGAAGGAAGAATGTTGTGATAAATTCAGAGAGGAGCTGTTAAAGGCTCTGGGTGGTAAGAAAGAGCTTCCAGATGACTGGACTACTACAGCAACAGTAATTAGAGACAGGTAGGAAGGTACTTGGTGTGTCATCTGGACAGAGAATGGATGATAAGGAAACATGGTGGTGGAACAGTGAAGTGCAGGAAGATGTTCAAAGAAAGAGGTTAGACAAATGTCTTGGAGAGATGGCAGTGAGGTTTTTGACTCAAATATTCAATGCCATATTTGAGGGTGAGAAAATGTCTGAGGAATGGAGAAGAAGTGCTGGTGGCCATTTTTAAGAACAAGGGTGATGTACAGAGTTGTAGCAACTACAGGGGAATTAAGTTGATGAATCACATGATGAAGATCTGGGAGAGAGTTGTGGAAGCAAGACTTAGATGAGAGGTGACTATCTGTGAGCAGCAGGATGGTTTCATGCCAAGAAAGAGCACCACAGATGCCATCTTTGATTTGAGGAGGCTGATGGAGAAGTACAGAGAGGGTCAGAAAGAACTCCATTGTGTCTTTGTGGATTTAGAAAAATCATCTGACAGAGTGCTGAGTGTGGAGGTGTGGTGTGTTAAACTGGTACAGGACATGGATGAGGACAGCAGGACATGTATGAGGACAGCAGGACATGTATGAGGACAGCAGGACAGTGGTGAGATGTGCTGTAGGAGTGACAGATAGCTTCAAGGTGGAGGTGGGAGTGCATCAAGGATCTGCTCTGAGCCCCTTCTTGTTTGCTCAGGAGATGGACCGACTAACAGACGTGGTCAGGCAGGAATCCCCGTGGACTATGATGTTTGCAGATGACATTGGGATCTGTGGTGAGAACAGGGAACAGGTGGAAGAGAACCTGGAGAGGTGGAGGTATGCACTTGAAAGAAGAGGAATGAAAGTCAGCCGTAGTAAGACAGAGTCCAAGTGTGAATGAGAGGGAGGAGGTGGAACAGTGAGGCTACAAGGAGCAGAGGTCACAAAGGAGCAGGACTTCAAGGACTTGGGGTCCACTGTCCAGGAACATGGGGAGTGTGGTGAAGAGGTGAAGAAGAGAGTCCAGGCAGGATGGAGTGGATGGAGAAAAGTTTCAGGAGTGATTTGTGGCCAAAGGGTGTCAGCAAAGGTCAAAGGAAAAGTTTACAAGACAGTGGTGAGACCAGCTCTGTTGTATGGTCTGGAGACAGAGACATGGACAAAAAGACAGGAGACAGAACTGGAAGTGAAGAAATGAAGATGTTGAGGTTCTTCTTAGGAGAGACAAGATGGAGAAGATCAGGAATGAGATCATCAGAGGTACAGCACAGGTTGAACAACTGGGAGATAAAGTTATAGAGGACACACTGAGATGGTTTGGACATGTCCAGAGAGGGGACAGTGGTTTGGACATGTCCAGAGGAGGGACAGTGGTTTGGACA